AGAAAAATTCTTTCATTGTTATACAATCCCTCTACCCAGGTCTACTCCACTATATAGCCTTCATTCTGAACTCGTCATGACAATAATACCTAATCATATATCCCTTTTAAACAGTTTTCTCCCTCATGTATTTCAATGCAGTATACATTATTTATCCCATCCTTCTCGGTCTCCCCCCAACCCTGATGTCAGCCTTGTTTTACAACAGTGGCACTATGCAGTATCTGTCCATTTGTGACTAAGATATTTCACTCAGAATAATGTTCTCCAGGGTCACCCATTTTGAATAATATTTCAAGAGTTCCTTGTTTTTCAATGCAGCATAGTATTCCACTGTGTGAATATACCACAGCTTCTCTATCCATTCGTTTGTTAATGGGTACTTAGGTTGTTTCCAACTCTTTGCTATTGTGAACAAAGCTGCGGTAAACATGGGTGTGCATATATCTGCTTGGGTGGCAGTTATGGTTTCTCTGGGGTATATTCCCAGTAGTGGAATTGCTGGGTCAAATGGTATCTCTATTTGCAACTTTTTGAGAAAGCACCATACTGCCTTCCATAGTGGTTGCACCATCGTACACTTCCACCAACAGTGAATAAGGGTTCTATTTTCTCCACAACCTTGCCAGCATTTGTTGCTTGCGGAACTTACAGGTTTAAAGAAAACAACTTGCAAAAATATGAATCTTAAATAAATCTTGATTAAATAACTTATACACACAATCTCCAACTCCAGACTCGGAGGAAATTAAGAAAATCTGAACCATGATAAAACTCTCACTGCCCTCAAGCTGGACTCAACTTATTGCTGACCCTAGAGTCGGTTTGCAGAGGCTGAAAATCCCACAGGAGACTGGCCAGCCTTCTCCCATGAAGGGGATGTTAGACTTGAATCACCTGCCTCTGGGTTGGCAGCATAACTCTCTATCGACTAGATCACCAGAGCTCCCTCTGATGAAATTAGCTGTTGTCAAGTTGACTCAGGCTTCTGGCAAACTCACGTGTGTCAGAATAGAACTGTGCCCCTGAGGGATTTCAAAGGCTGATCTTTGGGAAGTAGGTCTCAAGGACTTTCTCATAACCACATCTTGGTGAACTCAAACCTCCAATACTTACTTAACTGATGAGAACTTTAGGGAGCTCTGGTGGCCTAATGGTAAGGAAGTACAGTGCCAATTTAAAGGAATCCACCAGATGCTCCACAGGAGAAAGATGGACATTCTACTCTTGTGTAATTTACTGCCTCTGAAAACCTGCTGGAGGGTCAGCAATGAGTTGGTTCCAATTCAATGGTACATAATAACAAGCTGAATTATAAATATACAGTAAATTATAAATAAACAATACTATAGATAGTACCATTTTCACTATTGGTAAAGAATTACTATTCAAGTTTTGAGGCATTATAATGATAGGTAAGTGATAATTGTTACACAAAGGGTACTTTACTTTTGGAGATATACACTGAAATAGTTACAGATGAATAACAAGACATCTTGGACTGGATTAAAAATAATTTATTGAGAAGAAAATAATTTGAATAAAAATCAAACTAAGATTACTGTGAGCTGATAAAATGGGTAATGAGTACCATTCTCTCCACTTAAATAACCAATAGGATAGTTCAAAAAGTAAATTTAAACAAAATAAGATTAAGCTAAAAGAAAGATTTGGCAGTTACTATGAAAAAGTAGAGGGCTGTGGAAAATGCTAAGCCTCTGGCATTTCACATTCCCAGGCAAAGCAAGCACATTCGTTAGGAGGTTAAACATTCATAAAATAATAGTCACATCTATTCTAACTAGTTTTTGTATACCTCTATGGTCAAACAGGTAAAGGTTTCCTACAGATGTGTCCTAACACAGAAGAAACTGCCATAACAGGCTGGCTCTCCCGGATGAGAAAACTTTACAGCAAGATCCAAAAGCAATCACGATCTGAAAAATGTGCTGTGGTGGCAGCAGCAGCTAAGGTGGGAGAAAGGCTATAGGTAGTCTCAAGCACAGTCCAGGGCAGTGTATGAAGCAAGGGCCTGTTTCCCTGGCTTGATGAACCACCAAGGGTCAAAACCTTCCTGACAAACCTGTGCCTGTCAAGTAGCATGAGGAGCATGTTGTCAATGAAACCAGATAAAACCTCTCTGGTAAGGAAAGAAGAATACACATAAACACAGGCTGCTTTGGCCATTTTTTTTTGTGGTATTTTCTGGCCTCGTTATCCATTTTAAGTATTAACATTAAAATTTGATTTTAAAAATCACAAACACTTTGAAAGTAATTTGTAAGGCCTATAAGAGGAATAATTGGAGTAGCTTGAACTGTGAAAGGAAGATCAGAAACTGTGAAAGAAAGAAGTTCTGAATTTGTAGGAACATACAAACGAGCTTAGATGCCCTACTAGTTATTCATGATAACATTATTTTAGTTTTATTTCCCCCCCCTTATGAAAATCTGCAGTTTATATCAGTGGTTCTCAAAGGGGTAGTGCACATTTCATAGGATATGGGAAGTCTGAAGCAGGCATCTAAAATTTATAAACAACTCCCAAATGACTCTGAAATCTCCTGCGCCCCACTAGAGGACCACTGGGATTGCTGTGGCCTGGCTGCCACTCAAAAGCACAACAGCACCTGAGATAATCAACATGGAAGACTGGCCATTTCTGCTGCTTTGTGAACAAGCTCAAGGTTTCAAACACCTCCTTAAGCTAAGAAGTGCTGTAATGTCAGGCAGAGGATAACAAAATCTCCCTTTGCTCCTTCACAACTCTTACCACTACCCTATCTGTCTAGCATGGAGGCGGCTCTGAGCAGTGAAGATGGTCCAAGGTGGGTCTGAGGGGATCCCACCACTGACCATCTACTGGCATGAGCATGTGCATCTCTGCCTACCAGCTTCCTACCTGCACCACTACTCCCATTTAGTTGAAGGACAATGACAGGCAAATGATGTGGTACTCTTTGCAGTCAAACTTGTTTTTTGTGTTTTTTTTTATTTTATTATTTTTGTGTGCGTGTACCGTCAAATCAGATCTGACTGGTACAGGAGGAGATTGTCCCTCCTTCCCCGGCAGAGCATCTGGTGGATTTGAACCGTTCGCCTCTGGGATTGTAGTTGCAGCTCCTTGCCACTAGGCCACCAGAGCTCCCCTTGCAGTCAAACTTGTGAACATCACAGGGAAAAATTCATACACACACACACACACACACAGAGACATACACACAACCCAAACAACTCAACCATTTCTTGCTTCTCTGCATCTTCATCCATCCCCTGATATGACTGGGATAATTATGGTTTCTGATAATGCTGACTAGTTCAGTTTGGACAAAATATGAAGACCAACATCCTTCATTGCAAAGTGACTCTGAGTTTTACTCCTGTAATGGCCTCTCATGCCAGACAGGTCTACATCTTTGATAAGGAGGAGGAAGTGATTTAAGCACATGGGTCCTTCGAGGTAGCATGTTCATGAACTCAGTTCTTAGGACTGAAAGGAGCTGTAAACTGAAGCTGTAGGTATGAAGGTGATCTAGATCCTATGCTCTTTCTCAGTGAAGACTGTCCCTGCTACAAAGTCACTTACACAGCAGCTAAGTGCACTCCACCAGCACAATCTTACACAGTGCAGAGAGCTTGAAAAAATGTGTTGCTATCAGATACCGTCTCTCAGTATTCTAAATTTTTTAAATCCTTGAAAGTCACAAAATTAGTCACGTTTATACTTAGTATTAAATATTTAACAAGAATAAAATTATATTCATAGCAAAGTTAAAATAAAAATATTTATTTCAGTTGCACTTTAAAAGCTCTCTGTATAGTAGAACTGTTTCTTTCCTGTAACTTTATTAATATTGTTGTTGTTATGTTTATTAATAGTACTATTATTATGTTATTAGCATTATTCTCCCACATTTCCCTAGGTAGAAAATTATGTTTAGAAAAAAGCAGGTATTATGAATGCAAGGCTTATGTATAACCACTTAAAGAATTAGTAACCATTTTCAAATTACACACATTTTCCTCATTCTAGTCATTAGTAGGTTTTAGGACATTTATCAATCAGTAATGTGTCCCATCCAGAACAAGACTTCAGAAGGAGAGGAGAACCGAGACTTTAAAAGACCCGAATTCTAATCTAGATTGTGTCAGAATATTCAGAGTTGCTTTTCAAAGGAAGTTACGTTAAGGCACAGAATCACAGATCCAACTGTAAAACTATGGATTTTTATAGGAGATGATTAAAAATCTGTAGGCCTGAGAAAAAGAGAAGAGGAATCCCAGTAAGAATGAGAAAGGGCTTTTATGACATCTAGACAGTCACTGACGGATGGTCTATTCAAAATCTATAACAAACCCAAAATATAACTAACTAGACAAATATATCCCAAAAATGCCCTCTCAAAGGATCAAACAGGCAGTATTTCTCAATCAACACTTCTGTTACAAGAATTCAGTTCCTCTGAGCTTATTTAAATTATATGTATATACTTTCTAGAGTTGGACTTGGCTAAACAAAGCAATTATAAACTGATAAGATCATGGAAAAAAAACAAAAAAACCAACCAAACAAAACAAAACAGGTGAACATACACAAAAAACACACAAAAACAGGTGAACAAACCATTCATATCCAATCAAAGGCCGAGCTACCACTGTAGCCTTAGGAATTATGAGTATTGAATCAATAATAAACAGACTTTCTCCTTGATCTTACCTACCATTAAATATAGAAAAGCCTTTGGTATAGAAGGCCCTAGCCAACTACTGTAAGCATTCTCAACACAGCAAATCTGAAGCAATCACTAAAATGCTTTCAATTCTTAACTACTAACTAGCCTGAAAAACTTACATTCTTTTAAGTTTACTGGAATTATTATTCTGACTACTTTTAAGGCATTCAAATCAGCCACAGTCCAAGCTGAGTAAGAGGACTGGGTGATGGGATAATAAAACAATTGAAGACACACATATATAAAACATGTCATTGTAACTACTTACCTATCAGGCCCTTCTCAAGAGTGAAGGTTTTGTTTGTAAACATACATTCAAAAGCCACAATATGAAAAATCTTGTTCACTGTATTATGAGTTCCAACTATTCGAATATACCTGGAGATAAAAAGAAAACAAAATCTGTTGAAGAAACTAAGCTTCTATCACAATCAATACAAGTATAACAGAATAAGTTACATCATATAAAGCTACAGTGTATCAGAGCATGGATAAAAGTGACTTTGAACTTGACTTCAGACCTTGTTCCTGTTTCTCTAGGCTAGTGCCAACGGAGCCTAGAAGAATTATAGCAAAATCTAGGAGACGCCACTTCCCAGAGTATTAAGTAGAACTTAGATGTGATTTACCTAGAAAATCAAACCAGGCTCGTCCAATCCTTGAATGTCAGTACAATTACACGTCCATAAGACATTTACACTGCAGAATAAACAACAACATCTACCTTGCCTTGTGGTCAGGAGTATGCCTGTGCATATGTGCACATATACCATCAAATGCTTCCCAATTCATACAAATACTTCATCCATTGGAGACAAATACATGAAATCAATATTGCTTTCTTGTTTTAAAAAAAAAAAAGGGAACCCACCAAGGAAAATTCTCCAAAGTCACTCACAGTGTCTTTTCTTTTAAAATATTCATGGATTCTCATGAGGAAGTTAACCTGTATACTTACACCGGCCCTCACTTGACTGCTGGGTGTCAGAAAGGACCCAGCCTGCTACGCAGCTTCCCTCCTGGCCTCGAGGATCAGGCTTCTGCAAACAGGGCAAAGCATCCCCAGGCAGGTCTTGAGCATCTCGGCCTTTTCACCCTCTGCACCACCCTGAAGGCTTCACCTCTGACAAACAAGCATTAACCTTGGAGTGACTTGCTCCTTTCACTCTCTAAAGGGACCTGACAGTTCACAGGTTAATGAACAGTAAAACTCACTCTTCAGAGTACCACATAATTCCACTGGGAATGTGTCACATACCATCTCACTGGGAGAGAACTGGGGAGAAAACAGATTAACTGATCACCATCTCCCAAATTATGAACTATGCAAGCTGATTGATGAGAAATATTTAAAAAAAAAGATTTCAATCCGGAGATGGCAGATTGTGCAAGGTTTTAGTAATACCTTCCTCTGTTGTGTAAAATAACTCTGACTTAGGAGATATAATTTTACTTCTGACTTAATTGCCATTCACTAATTTAGTAATTTCCTTGCATTTTTCATCACTTCAAGTTAACTGTACAATGTAAATGTTCATTTTACAGTTTCACATTAAGGAGACTTTATCTGGGGCTATCAGGGGCTATTTTCCCTCCTGTTTCTTCAATCCTGATCTTAGAGCAATCCATGTGCACCTCATTTAGCCAGCTGCGCATTGACACCAGCTGACCACTCATCTTCACGACCACGATTAATGCTCTTCCCTGGACTGTGCTCACGCAAACTGCAGGCAGACAGCACTCTTCTGCCTGTGTGTGTGACAAGGCGAGGGCGCCTACTGAACTCACTAGAGCCCTCTGGGGAAGCAGGTGGTGGGCTCTGGTCTGTTCTGTTGAGCCCTCACGGCAGACAGAAGGTGCTGAATTTTCTAGGCGTGGGCGGAGGAGTTCATTGGAACTATGTTTTTAATAGTCTGTGTAGGCAGACTGTGCCACCCTTTACAGTAGGTTGTGGCAGTCTACCTGGTGCTTTCTGGAAGCGAAGGGGTGTGCTAAACCTGGCACCTTGGTTTGAATCTAATTTTGTCGATTTCCTTAAACCCACAAGAACTCAACCAGTATAGCATTTTCAACCGCAGATGGCCATGCCAAGCAGAGTGCAGCTGCCTGTAACCTTGGAGGGAATGTGGCTTCGCAGAATTTGAACAGATCATTTTCATTTCCCTAGGTCAAGACTCGACCAAAGGAAAGACAACTTTCTGACTACTTTCTGTATAGAGCTGTGGGGCCACTCATAGGGCCTTTCTGTGACCCAATTGTTAAGACTAACAGTCCAGGCAGTCTTAAGAGGATCTAGTAGTTTCCTTCCCTCTCTTCAGTCTCTTTTATTTTCTCTCTCCTTTTTAAAATAACATATTTTCCAAGTTTAGATAACAATAATATTTCAGATATCGCTCTGGTACAAGTATTGTTTGTTACTGTTGTTATGTGCTGTCCAGTTGGAACTGACTCTGGACCCTCCAGCTGGTTTTCAGAGGCCATAAATCACACGGGAGGAGATGGCCCATCTTTTTCCCTCACAGCAGCTAGTAGATTTGAACTGAATGCTTTTGGGTTGGCAAGTACCACTAGGCCATCATAGTTCCCATGGTACAAATGTTAAAGAAAAAAGAAAGCCCAAACAAGAAAAGGAAAAAAGGATACTCCTCTCTCCTAAATTAAGCAACTAAAGATGAAAAGCTGTGTACTGGAATATATTTTTACAGCCTTAATGATAGTATTTGTGATAACAAACAAAATAATATATATGGTTGGAAAAGCACGGAGATGCCTCCAGATAAAAAGTTCTATATTAATGAAGATAATGTTATCTCTGCTGTATAATCCAGAAGTCAAATTAGCAATTCACTACTGTATATCACACTTCTTGATGAGCCTGTTATGTGCAATGCTCATAAGTTTAATTATTCTAGTTTTGCAAAACTTCCTAAATCTCCACAAAATTATAACATAATTTATAAAAGTGGCTTAAAGTTCATACTCAAACACATATTTTTTTTAGAAAAAACAACCAACGACAAAAACATCAAAATAAATTCAAAAGAAAGAAGCCATGCTCCTTCTTAAGAAGGCAGAACTCTTCTATGTATTAATAATTTAAACTAAAGACGGCTGATAGATTTCAACTAATACCCCAAAATTGATAAGTGGTAGCAGTCACAAGTTAAGAATTAAGACCATAATTGCAGAACAAGTATGAGGAATGGGGGAATGGGGGAGCAGAGGGCTGAGGATGAGTGGGGGGGAGGGGCATTAATCATAGGGTTGCACAATTTGATATGAAACCAGTATAAAATAAAATAAAAGAGAAAGACTACACAGCATGCAAGAACAATGATTCTGTAAATCACTACCTAACTTGGGAGTGGCTGGAGGGCATTATGCTAAGTGAACTAACTCAGTCCAATAAGGACAAATACAGTATAAGACCATTATTGTAGAACGTGTACAGGATCCAAGGGGGGATGGGGAGAGCAGAAGGGTGAGGAAGGGTGGAGTTGGGGGGGGGTTGTTAATCATAGGGTTGCAGGGAGCTCTGGTAGCCTAGTGATTATAAGCTGTGCTGCAATCCCAAAGGTGTAGGGTTCCAATTAACCAGATGCTCCGCTACAGAAGGAGGGGCAATATCCTTCTGTGTCAAACAGATATGACTCTAGAGTACACAACAAGAAAAAACAAAGCAAAACAAATCATAGGATTGCACAATTTGATGAGTGGTAAAGAAATGGGAAAGATCAGGGTAAAAAACAATGTATACAAACTTTGTAAGTAAACCATTATAAAACAAAAATTTTATTTAACTAATAATGAAAAAAGAATTAAGAAAGACATATTTGAAAACAGAGTCAGCAAAGGAGAGAAAGACCCTCAGTGAGAAAGTCTAACACCGTGAATGCAAGGAACAAAGGGCTTTGGCACAGCAGTGACTGGGAGGATGGTACAGGATTGCACAGAGTTTCAATCTGTTCAGAGACAGATTGTGAGCGGACATGATGGCACCAGCAACACCACGTAGGCTGGGTGATTTAAGTGACTGACTTAAGGCTTGTTGAAAGGCTTGTGATTCAAGATTAAATACTTGGGAGTAAACCTAACCAGAAACACAAAAGATCTTTTCAAAGAAAATTACAAAACATTACTACAAGAAACAAAAAGAGACCTGGAGAAGAGGAAGAATATCCCTTGCTCATGGATAGAAAGACTCAATATTGTGAAAATGACAATATTACCAATGGCAATTTGCACGTTCAATGCAATCCCAATAGAAATACCAATTCCATTCTTCAATGAGACAGAAAAAGCAGTCTCCAATTGCATTTGGAATGGAATGAGACCCTGAATAAGCAAAACACTCCTTAAAAAAGAGAAACAAGGTAGGAAACATCTCACTCCCTGATTTCAAATCCTATCACACTGCCATGGTGGTCAAGACAGCGTGGTACTGGTATAATGACAGACACATAGATCAATGGAATAGAATAGAGAATCCAGAAATCAGCCCACCTACCTATGGTCAATTGAGTTTTGACAAAGGGATGAAATCAGTTAAGTGGGGAAAGGACAGTCTTTTTAACAAATGGTATTGGCAAAATTGGAAAACTATCTGTAGAAAACTCAAGCAAGACCCACACCTTACTCCATACATGAAAACCAACTAAAAATGGATCATAGACCCAGGACTAAAACCAAGGACTATACATTTCATTAAAGAAAAGCTTGGAAGAACTCTAGAAGTCCTAATCCACAACATAAACAGTCTTCCAAGCATCCTAAAAAATTTACAGCCAGGAGAGGATAAAATAGATGAATAGGACCTTCTAAGAATCAAATCCCTATGCACATCCAAAAACTTCTCCAATAGAATAAAAAAGGGAAGCCACAGACTGGGAAAAAATATTTGGTAATGACATGTCAGATAATGGACTTATATTTAGAATTTATAAAATACTCAAGCACCACAACAAGATAAAGGTAAACAATCCAATTGAAAAATGGGCACAGGATATGAGGAGACACTTCACTAAAGAAGATATTCAGATGGCCAAGAAGCACATGAAGAAATGTTCAAAATCCCTAGCTCGAAGAGAGATGCAAATCAAAACAACTATGAGATATCATCTCACCCCAGTTCAAATAGCAAAATTTAACAGAGCAGAAAACAACAAATGATGGCAAGGTTGTGAAGAAACTGGAACCTTTATTTACTCTTGGTGGAAGTGTAAAATGGTGCAACCACTATGGAAGGGTGTATGGTGCTTTCTCAAAAAGTTGCAAATAGAAGTAACATTTGACTGAGTAATTCCATTACTGGGAATCTAGAGAAATCGTAACTGCCATCCAGGCAGATATATGCACACCCATGTTTATTGCGGCTTTGT